GAAGCAGAACGCCACGGGAAAACACACAGGGAGAACCTCATGGATGACAGGAGCAGAGCTTGGAGTGATGTGTCTACAAGCCAAGGAATGATAAGGATTTCTGGCAAACACCAGAAGCTAGAAGAAACATGGAAGGACTCTTCTTATGGGTTTCAGAGGGTGGTCCTGACAATACCTCGGTTTCAGGCTTCTAGCTTCTGTGAGAAAATAAATTTCTGCTGCTGTCAGCCACCCAATTTTTAATACTTCCTTGTGGTAGCCCTAAATTAATACAGAGTGGAAATGAGAAGAAAATGAGAAGAACAAACAGGGGCCTCTCTAGGCCATCCCACAAGAAGAGGAAATAGAAATGAAGGGAAAAGAAAACAGCAAAGATTCTGGACAGTTCTGAAGACTCTTCTAATCCCAGCCCCTGAGAAACTAAATGGAAAAAGAAATAGGTCATCTGAGGTCACTCAACCATCAGCCAGGATCCATTGATAGGTGAGTTTTGGTCACTGAGATGAATCCCTTCTCTGCTTTGGAGTTTTCCTGAGGGCCTTGGGATTCACTTCTGCAGTTTTTCTTTAGATGGAGCTCCCAGCCAGAGGTTTAGAAGAGGAAGAAGGAGGTGAAAGGATTGGGGAGGAGGGAAGTAAATTCATGTCTGGCCTGGAACTGCAGAATGTGACCTTATATAGAAATAAGGTCATAGTAGATGTCATTAATTAACGTGAAGTCATAGTGGAGTAGGATGGGTAGCCAATATGACCAGAGTCCCTACAGGAAGACGAGAAGAGACAGGAAGCAGAATGCCACGGGAAAACACACAGGGAGAACCTCATGGATGACAGGAGCAGAGCTTGGAGTGATGTGTCTACAAGCCAAGGAATGATAAGAATTTCTGGCAAACACCAGAAGCTAGAAGAAACATGGAAGGACTCTTACGGGTTTCAGAGGGTGCGTGGTCCTAACAATACCTCGGTTTCAGGCTTCTAGCTTCTGTGAGAAAATAAATTTCTGCTGCTCTCAGCCACCCAATTTTTAGTACTTTCTTGAGGTAGCCTTAAAAAATTAATACAGGGAGGAAACGAGAAGTCTACTTAGCATTCTGGTCCCACTGGCCATGTCAGTGACACTGAGGGGCCACTTTTAATAAGAGTCATCCAGTCCCCAAGGCCTTGAGGAGACCTTCCCAAACTTGTCATTAGTGATGTTCCTTATGTCCCCACGTAGTGAAGCCCCACAGATTGAAATGCGAGAATGTTCTAGAGGCCTTTAAAGTGATGTGGGCCCTTTAACACAATTGGAATGCTGTACTGGACAGAGCAGAATCTGGGGGCGGGGGGCGGTCTGCACTCTTTCAGTATCACTCAGGCTGATGTTTTCTGCTTTTCTTCTTTTGGTCTGATGAGAGCAAGAGATAGACACCCAAGAAATTAGTTGATGGTATTAACCGACTCCTGCAGGAGGCTTTGGGGAAGAGACACCAGTGCCTCCAGGCTCCTGTTCATGGCAGGAGGGATTCAGTTGGTGAAATTACGTTTCCTGTAAGCACAGAAGATAAACTTCTACAAGACCATCTCTTGCTTCCACACACACATGGGAGCCCTGAGAAATGTCAGGCAGAGGGCGCCTGGGTGGCTCAGGGTCCTGGGATCGAGTCCCGCATTGGGCTCCCTGCTCAGCAGGGAGTCTGCTTCTCCCTCTCCTTCTGCCCTTCCCCCCCTGCTTGTGCGCTCTCTCTCTCATATAAATAAAATCTTTAAAAAAATAGAATTAGCTGTTTATTAAAAGGAAAAAAAAAAGAAATGTCGGGCAGAAACTAGTATTCCCAGTTGGGCTGTGGCTGGAGCTGGAAATGGCCAATAATTATAATTGCCTTCCTGCTGAGATCTCTCAGGGGGCATATCACTGCTCCCCATCTCAGGGGCTGGGCTTCCACCAAGGGCCAGGAAACAGAGCTAAGAAGGTGGCAGAGAAGACAAGGCCCTGTCACACACCTGGGCAGCAAGACAGACATCTGCCATTTCCTCAAGCTGACCACTTAACCACCGTAGTTTTGTTGTTTTTTTTTCTGATGGTTGCTGACATTTGCCTTGGTAACTTTCAATTTTAGCTCTTCCTTTGATCATGTCCCTAATGTGATAACTGAATAATGACCCTCCTAAGCCCTGGATCCTGTATATATGTTAAGTTACTTGACAAAAGGAACTTGGCAGATGCAATGAACACTGACTGCTAATCAGTTGACCCTTAAGAAAGGAGGTTATCATGGATTGTTGGATGGGTCCAATGGAATCTCAAGTGTTCATGAAAGTAGAACATAGTTGGTGATTAGAGATCAGAGGAGGGAGACAGAGGAAGTGTTTGAAGTGTGGGAGAGATTTGACTTGCCATTGCTGATTCTGAGGATGGACGAAAGAGGTCACAAGCCAGGACATGTAAAAAGACTCTAGAATCTGGGAATAGCCCTCAACTGACAGCCAACAAGAAAGTGGGTTGCAAGTCCTACAACTGCATGAAACGGAACTCCACAACAATCTGAATGAGCAAGAATATGAACTTCCCTGCCAGAGCCTCCAAGAAGGAACACAGGCTGATATATTGATTTGGGCCTTATGAAAAGCTAAGCAGAGACCCAGTCAAACCTGCCAGTCTTCTGACCTAAGAAGACTGAGATAATGAATTTGTGTTGTTTTAAGGCACTAAGATGGTGGCAATTTATTATAGCAGCAGTAAGAAACTAATACACCTAACAAATCTGGTTCCCTCATGAAGTAAAACCAAGTTTCTCCTGTGGATGATGAAGCAGATAACCTAAACTTTTCAATCTCTCCACTCACCTCCCTTTACATTGCAGAGTATGATCCTCTTTACTGCGAATTAGCCCAGCAACAAAGCCTTGTTGCAGGAAAAGTTTTTCAACCTCAGTTTCTTTCATGTTGTTCCAACAAAACTCAAGCCTGTTCACTTAAAGAAAACTGCATGGGGGGAGGGGGAAAGCTACCTAATGTTTACTTGCCTAATGAGCAAACTTCCTAATCATATCTTCTCCTAAAATTTATACTCACCAGGTTTACCTTTTATATTTATTTGATTGGAGTCTCTTAGCCCCTTTTGAGATTTTTGTTTGCACTCTTTAGGGATTTCTTTTTCACTTTGTTTACTCCTGAATATTGCAATTTTAAAATAAAGTGATGCATATAAAAATGATTTTCCAACATATAAAAGAGTTAAAGCAGTGAAATGAACATACAGTTGGCCCTTGAACAACACAAGGGTTAGGGGTACTGACACTCCCCCCATGCAGTCAAAATCTGCACATAACTTTTGGCTCCCCCAAAACTTGATTACTAATAGCCTACTGTTGACCAGAAGTCTTATCTATAACACAAATAGCCAATTAACACATATTTTGTATGTTGTATGTATTATGTATGATATTCTTACAATAAAGTAAGCTAGAGGGAAAAAATGTCATTAAGGAAATCATAAGAAAGAGAAAATACATTTATAGCACTGTACTGTTTTAACCAAAAAATCATGTATATATGTGGACCAGCACGGTTCAAACCCATGTTGTGTGGGGTCAACTGTACCACCTGTATTCACCTATCAAATAGCTCAGAAGTTCACCTCATAGGTGTGCTCAACTAATTTAACGCCAAGCCATTATTTTCAATAATCAATAGTTATAACATAGCTTTTAAAAACTTATTTAAAGATTGATGGGAGGAGGGATGGGGGGGTAATCTGTGGTAGAGAGACTGAAGGAAAGCTGATAAGCCAAGGTTTGAGGGAATCAAAAAGTAGTGGAAGTTCAACATTGTTGTGGAAACAGCGACACACTATTAGTAGATGGAGTAATTTACATCCCCATGGGTAATTAGTTACAATTATGGATGAATAATTAATTATAATTCCCAAATCAACAGAGATAGTATTCAAACTAATTAAAAAATCCAAGGCCATGTGTCTCTGTATCTATTAGAATCCCTTTTGCTGCAACAAGGAGCCCCAATTCAAATACTTAAATGGGAAGGAAACTTATTCTCTTACCTGACTGAAAGTCCATAAGAGGGTGAAGCAGGAGGTAAAGCAGCTCAGTGCAATTGTCAAGAACCCAGGTTCTCTCTTTCTCCACTCCGCTATTCTCAGCAGGCAGCCTGCCTCCCAGGATGATTGCTGAAGTCCAGGCATCCCATCCAGACACACACCAGACAAAAGAATGGACAGTCTTGCTTAGAATTTCTTATATGCAAACAGTAATAGCCAACTGAGCCCTAATTATGTGCCAGGCACATTATGTGTATATCTTCATTTAATGCCATCAACAACCCTACTACACCATTCACATAGCTGGTTCTGCCTTTAAAGTCCGGGATAGTTCAGAAATACTAGGATTCCCCCTTAGACCTTGTTCAAGTGAATAATGCTGGTGCGATGGGTTAGCTAGTGGAGGAGACGGAGTGCTAGGTTAAAATAAGATACCAGGAACTAACTGGAAGGCCCTACACTGTCTGCCCAAGCAAGGCATCTTGTAATAAGCATAACACAAGCACCCACCATGCTGATGTGGTCAATGATGACCTGGATCTTCTGGCCTTGACACCCACTGTCCAGTTTCTATACGGCTACTTATTCATGTAACTATGTAACTCATATTTTAGCCTTATGCTCCCTTGGACGTGACATCAGAATTTTGCCGATAAGGCTGGATTTATTTGACATCCTTAGTAGAAAATAAAAACAAATGCCAGTTAGCTTATGACAAAAGGAGAATGTACTAAAATGACAAAAGATCAAGAGAGGGGAAGGCAAACCAAGAAACAGACTCTTAACTCTAGAGAACACACTAATGGTCACCAGAGGGGAGGTGGGGGGGATGGGTGAAACAGGTGATGGGGCTTAAGGAGCACACTTGTCATGATGAGCACCAGGTGTTTATGGAAGTGTTGAATCACTATATTGTACACCTGAAACTGATATTACACTGTATGTTAACTAGCTGGAATTTAAATAAAAAAAATTTTTTAAATGACAAAAAGCCCAAACCAAGAGTGTAGCCAGACCTAAGAAATCATTGGATCCAGGAAATGAAAATTCCCTGGGGAACCTAATTAGGACTGTCTCTCTCTGTTTTCTTCCAGTTTTATTGAGATCTAATTGACATGCAGTACTGTGTAAGATTAAGGGTACAGCATAATGACTTAACTTACATATATTGGAAGATGGTTGTCATCATAAGTCTAGCTAATATCCATCATCTCATAGATACAAAAAAAAAGAAAAAAAAGTTTTTTTCCTTGTGATGAGAACCTTTAGGATCTACTCTCTCAATAACTTTCCTATATACCATACATCAGTGTTAGCTATGGTCACCATGTTATGCATCATATCGCCAGTGCTCACTTATCTTGTAATTGGAAGTTTGTACCTTTTGACCACCTTCATCTGATTCCCCCACCCCTTACTTTTGGTAAACAGAAATCTGATCTCTTTTTCTGTGAGATTTTTTTTTCTTAGATTCCATGTATAGGTGAGATCATACAATATTTATCTTTCTCTGCCTGATTCATTTCTTTTTTTTTTATTAAAGATTTTATTTATTATCTGAGACAGAGAATGAGACAGAGAGAGAGCATGAGAGGGGGGAGGATCAGGGGAAGAAGCAGACTCCCTGCTGAGCAGGGAGTCCGATGCGGGACTCGATCCCAGGACTCCAGGATCATGACCTGAGCCAAAGGCAGTCACTTAACCAACTGAGCCACCCAGGTGCCCTGCCTGATTCATTTCACTCAGCATAATGCCCTCAAGTTCCATCCATGTTGTTGCAAATGTTAAGATTTCCTTCTTTTTATGGCCGAATAATATTCCATTGTGTATATATATATACCACATCCTCTATATCCATTCATCTGTTGATGGACACTTATACTCTTTTCATGTCTTTGCTACTGTAGATAAGGCTGCAATGAACAAAGGGGTGCAGATGTTTCTTCAACATACTGATCTCCTTCAGATATATACCTAGAAGTAGAATTGCTGAATCATATGGTAGTTCTATTTTTAGATTTCTGGGAAACCTCCATACTGCTTTCCATAGTGGTTGTACCCATTTACATTCCCACCAATACTGCACAAGGATTCTCTTTTCTCCACATGCTCACCAGCATTTGTTATCTCTTGTTTTTTGGTGATGGCCCTTTTAATGGGTGTGAGTTGATACCTTGTTAAGGTTCTGATTGACATTTCTCTGATGGTTAGTGATGTTGAGCACCTTTTCATGTACCTGTTGGCCATTTGGGTATATTCTTTGGAAGAATGTCTGTTCAGGTCCCTTTCCCATTTTGAAATTGAACTAGTTGGTTTTTTGCTGAGTTGTATGAATTCTTTATATATTCAGATATTAACCCCTATTAGATACATGATCTGCAAATATTTTTTCCCCTTCAGTAAGTTGTTTTAGTAGGACTATCTCTTGACTCTGCCTCTCTCCATGAGTCTACTTCATTCTTCATTTTGTGGACCAGTTCTCTCTCTTCTCCTGTCTGCTACGTCCACAGCAAAAAAATATGCCCATTAAATAGCCATTCCTAGAGAACTCATCTGCATTCTTATTCCTACTCTCCATCCCCTGTGCCTCTCTCTTCTCTTCTTCATGTCCTCCACATTCCTTGGTTCAGATCTCTGACTAGTCCATCTTGGGTCAGCAGCCTACCCTTGGTCTGATCAACTATGGCTAGTGGGATGGAGTCACGTTCTATAAACAAGACTCTAGGCTTTGATTGCCGTGGATGAAAGGAAGGGGAATCCATGTAAGAAATTAAAGATGTTGCTGTGTACTGTGCAGCTATTTTCAAAGGTGACATGGATCAAAATAACATGAGAATGAAAGACTCTTTATCATGAAAAAATTTTCAACACATGTGAAAACAGAGCCATTAATATAATGAACCTCCCCATCACCCAGCTATGGATATTTACTCATATAAGCACAATGGTATTACTACGCCTAACAAAATCAATATTTCCTTGGTTTCATCTACTATCCTGTCAATATTTAAATTTCCCCAATGGCAGGAAACGTTTTTGTATTTGTTTTTTTCAAACCAGGATCTAAACAAGATCCTCACGTTACATTGGTTTTATGCCTCATAAATCTCTTTTCACATAGAGCCATCTCCCCCCGCCCACTCTCTGACTCAGTTTTTATGATGTCGACCTATGAAGAAACCATGTTAGTTGTACCTACTGAATGTCCCACATACTGGATTTTGTCTGCTTCCTCATTATGGTCTCACAAATAGAATTTAGTTAAAAAGCCTTGATTTATTTCAAGTTCAACATGTTTTGAAAGTACACTTCATAGTGAGGCTGTGTGTTTCCTGCTGCTTCAAGTTCATGATCATTCAATGTCTAGTTGTCCCACTCTTAGGTTATGCTGACTGATCAGTGGGTTCAGGTAGCAACAGCTTGATTTCTTCCTTGTAAAGGTCATTATCAAACATTTGCCTAAAATTTTCACCCATTGACTACTTTTGCCTGAATTATTTATTTCATTAGGTATGACAAAATGGAAGCGAGATGATTCTATCGGGCGGCGGGCGGTGGGGGGCAAGTGCCTATGTACCTTTCCTCAGTATTGCCAGATTCTCCTCCATTGGAGGTGTACCATCTTGTATTCCAACCAACAATGTACAAGATAGTATTATTATATTTCACTCCAGCATGACCAACCCAGTATGTTTTCAAATCTCTGATCTTCACTGATATGATAGGTGAGAAATGTTACCTCAGGGTGGATTTAATTGGCATTTCTATGATGAGTGAGGATGAGGGGACTGGGTTTTGGGAAAGAAAAAAAAAAAGGCAAGAAGGCCCCAGTGATGATAAAGATTTTGAGCATGCACCAACTTATTTCCTCACTTTGGTCAAAAA